TGGGAATAAATATACATATGCATGTGTTCCTGTGTGTGTGTGTGTGTGTGTGTGTGTGTGTGTGTGTGTGTGTGTGCATATGTGTGTGTGTGTCACACAGTTAGGAAATGACTGAAGTAGAACCTTTTAAAATTTATTTTTATCTATTTATTTGTGGGAATAAATATACATATGCATGTGTTCCTGTGTGTGTGTGTGTGTGTGTGTGTGTGTGTGTGTGTGTGTGCGCGCAGGAGTGGGAGCTGGTACACATGTGTATTCATATGTCAAGGCCAGGGGTTGACATCAGGTGCTTTCTGAGACAAGGTCTCTCCCTGAGCCCGGAGTTCACTGATTTCGCTAGATAGATTAATTGATCTCAAGCCCTGTGCTGGGATTCCAGGCACTCTCCGGTGCTGGCTTTTCACATGGGTGCTGGGATCCCACCTCAGATTCTAACGTTAGCATAGCAAATGCTTCTCTCTGCAGTCCCTGAACTGAAGCTTTCTAGTTGCACAGTTTTTGGTATTGAGATAAACATGTCCTCTAGTCCCATGAGAAGCAGGCACTATGTGCCTAGTTCAGCTTTCCACTTCCAGAACTCAGAAAGTTCTTCAATACTGGGGACAGGGAAGAAAGTTAAGACAGGAGAGGGAGGGAGGGAGGAAGAGGGGAGGGAGGGAGGGAGGGAGGGAGGAGACAGGGAAGGGACAAAATTGAAGAGAAGAAAAAAAGCTGTGGATGTAGCTCACTTTGTGTGGCATTCTCGATGAGTTGTTGCCGGTTGTGAGGAGCGGATAAAGTCCTGAGCATTGTGTGTTGCTGACATGGGCACAGCCATGTCAAGGACCATGATGCCTCAGATCCATGGAAACTGGCAAAGCCTTCTTCTCTGGGGAGGCTCATGGAATCCGCAAAGCCTTCCTCTCACTGACGCGAACTACCGACCACAGCTTCCTCCTGGGATGACCACAGCCTGAGACCACACACCTACGGAAACCTCCCGGTGAACGGCCAGACCCGCCTGCTTGTCCAGCGTGTGCGGTAAAGCCACTGCCCCATTCAGAAGATAAACACTTGGAGCTTTTGACGTGCTATTCTTGGTGGTAATCTCTATCAGAGCACATGGCCCACCTGATCTCAGCTTTTCTGTGGGTGCGTCTGTGTGTCTGTCCTTCCTTCATTCCCTCATTGCCCTAGGACCAAGCCACAAAGGACTCAGTGTCCCAAAGTATTTACATACTTGGTCCAAGGTTGGTGGTGCCATTTGGGCAGTGTAAGAGGTGTGGCCTTGCTGGAAGTATGCCCCTGAAGGTGCCCTTTGAGAGTTCGAAGCTTCACACTATTCCCAGTTTGCTGTCTGCTTGGTGCATCCAGTTCAGGATGTGAGCTCTCAGCCGGTCCTGCCGCCATGGCTGCCGGCCTGCTATCATGTTTCCCATGGACCCCCACCAGAACTGCAAACCCCAAGTCAACTTTCTTCTGAAATTTCCTTGGTCAGGTTGTTTTATCACGGCAATAGAAAAGTAACTAAGATACTTGGTAGATGTTCGTCTGGCATGCATGAGACCCCAGGTGAAGGGACACTGGCCCATTGGAGCACATGGCTCTGGCAGGCCTTGCCCTTTTCCCGAATCCCCTCTGCCTTGGTAAAAACCATTAGATTGCATCCCTAAAGCTAGCTCCCAAAGTCTAGTCCCTTTATTTGGAGACTGCCTCCTCCTGAGGCTGACTACCAAGGTCCAGCTATCAAAGTATTGAAGTCCGGCAATCAAAAGGCCCCTTTGGCTCACCTAATTAGCATACCCAATCAAAATATACCACGCCATCCCAGTCCATCCTAACACAAAACTTCCTTTTTCTCGTCTTAAAAATGACCCCTGCAAGGTCATTTGCTGCTGTTTTCTGCCTGAGTCAGAAAGCAGCCACTCTAACTTTTCTTCCCCGATTAATAAAGGATCTCTGGGAAAACAGCTGTTTGGGTGTGGTTTGTGCCTAATCTGGGGTCCGAGAGGGAGCCTCGAACTGCTGTGGGGGGTTGTCTTCACCAGGTTCCATCCAGGCATGGTGGCACACATCTTTACTACTGGTGCTAGGGAGGCAGAGACAGTGATCTCTGTGACTTAAGGCCAGCCTGGACTAAATAACGGCTTCAAAGCCAACTAGGGCTACATAGTGAGACCCTGTTTCAAAATAAAACATTTAAAAAGGGATGAGGCCAGGTAGTGGTGGCACACGCCTTTAATCCCAGCACTCAGGAGGCAGTGACAGGTGGAGTTTGAGGCCAGCTTGGTCTACAGAGTGAGTTCCAGGGAAACGCTATCTAGAAAAAATCCACTAAGCGAGGGGTGGGGTGGGGGGCTGGGTAAGGAAAGGACATAAAGTATCAAAGACTATTCCTTGCCAGGCTCAATGCAGGTTCTACATAATGCTGAATCTGTGATGTCACGGGCTGTCCCTAGCCGACTCTAAGCGTGCTAGGGAAGGACAGTGAGCCTCTGCAGTCTAAGCCTACAATCTCTTGTCTGTCTGTCTGTCTTTTCATTTTATGGGTATGGGTGTTTGGCCTGCATGTATGTCTGTGTATCACATGTGTGCAGCACCTGAGGAGGCCAGAAGAGGGCGTCAGATCCCTGGAATTGGAGTTACTGTGGTGAGCCACAGTGTAGGTCCTGGGAGTTGAACCTGTATCCTCGCCCCCAAGTACAGCAAGTTCTCTCTCTCTCTCTCTCTCTCTCTCTCTCTCTCTCTCTCTCTCTCTCTCCCTCCCTCTCTCTCTCTCTCTCTCTCTCTCTCTCTCTCTCTCTCTCTCTCTCCCTCCCTCCCTCCCTCCCTCTCTCTCTCTTTTGAGACAGGGTTTCTCTGTTTAGTTTTGGTACAGTTCCTGGAACTCACTCTCTAGACCAAGCTGCCCTCGAACTCACAGAGATCCGCCTGGCTCTGCCTCCCAAGTGCTGGGATAAAAGGCATGCGCCATCTCTCAGTCCTCTTTGTTTGTTTGTTTGTTTGTTTGCCAGTGCTAGGGATGGAATCTCTGACCTCCTACATGTAGGTAAACGTTCTGCCTCTGAGCCACTTCCTGGGGCCCTGTCCTGCGGGTCTCGGGCATCCACCAAAAGATGGGGTTGTACGGAAGGGTGCGGCCTTAGCTTCCAGATTCTTCTTACCGTTGCCACCGAATGTGCTGGCTGTAGGATTGGATGGGACAGTGACTCTGCAACTTAAGTTATTTTCCATCCTGGGCCCCCAAACAAGCTCCAGTCCTGCGGTGCCCTCTGCAAACCTCAGCCGCACCCAGCTCAGCCGGTCTTCCCGCCAGGCCCTACAGCTTAGCCACAGGCTCTGCGCAGACTCACAGGCTCCGTCCGGGAGGAGGGGCAGCAAGCGTGCCCTGGAAAAGGGCAAGAGCAGGGCCGCGGGCCTCTTCCCTCCCGGAGCGCCGGGACCCGGCAGTGTGCGGCTGCCAAGAGCCAGTGAGGAGGCACAAGTCCGTTCTCAGCCAGTTGTTTGCGCTCTGGGGCTTATTTTCCCACAGAGACAAAGCTCAAGTGGAGCTTGGCTCCTTGCCTGGCTCCAGGGAACTGTTATTGAGTTCACAGCTACAGCCTCAAACCTTCACCCCTCCACATTGTCTGGGACTGGCTGGGGCTCTAATGGGAGCCTCTGAGACCACAGACCCACAGGCACCTCTGCCCAGGCTCTGGGGCTGTGGGAACTGGGGCCCACAGAGAACACAGTTCAAGCTCCCCACCCCCTCCTTTTGGGGGTGTTAATTCAGGGCTTCTTGTCTCTAAGGCGCTTCATCCCGAGAACTACTCACCAAAGCCATGGGGTAGAGAGAGTGTCCTGAATAGAGGAATCCTGGGCTACCATCTAAATACTCAGGCTTTCTCATTTATAGACGGTAAGGGGGCCAGATCCATAATTCTCTAGCTTTTCCTCTTTCTAACATTTTCTCACGGTGGTGTATGCCTAGAGCCCCAGTACTTAGGAGTCAGAGGCAGGAGAATTGCGGGGACTGGAGGCCGACTTGGGCTACATAGCGCATTCCAAAGACAATGTGGGCTGCAGAGTGAGACCTTGTCTTCAAAAGAAAAAAAAGTTTTTAAAGAATCTTTTGTTTTGTTTAAGATAGGAGCTCACACTGTAGCCCAGGCTGGCCCAGGCACCTGAATATCCAGCATCTTGAGTGCACAATTCCAGGTATGAGCTACCCTGGGCTTCAAGCAGGTTTGACTAAAACCGATTAAAGCGTTGGTAAAGCTGGTGAAGGGATAGACCCCCCTCACACTGCCTATGTGGCAGTGGTGGCCACACCATGTGGCTGTATTTCTTCCTACCTCTTCCTTGAGGAGTGCTGGGGGGGGGGGAGAGTCACAGGGCTAGACACACCCACCCCTACACAAGTACCCAACCAGACAGACATGTACACATACAGGTACACACAACATACATGCATGCATGCATACATACATGTCGACAGACACTAACTCACCCTAGCATTAGCTTAAAGTCTTGGAAAGAACTGTGCATAACATTCCAGACTGGATGGGGGTGTGTGGTCTGAACCCAGGGGCTTCTCAGCTCCCTCTGCAGCCATGGGCAAGCGGACACCACTCTCTTCTCCATTTTGAGCTGTAAAGCTGTATCAGGTAGACTTGGGATAATGATTTATCATCATTATTATTTCTTTCCCTTTTTTACACCTATTTATTTATGTGTGTGTGGAAATCAAGAGAACAGCGTGCAGGGGTTGATTCTCTTCTACCATGTAGTTTCTGGAAATCAAACTCAGACCATGGGGTGACAGCATTTACCAGCTGAGCTGTCTCGTCGCTTGAGACAGTCTTCGGAAACTCAAAGTCACTCTACAAGCAAGACACGTATGAGTGGCTGAAACCATAGCCATGAACGGTGGAGCCGGATCCCAGTAGGGAAGCGCTAGGCCTATGAGGCCCTTGGCTGCCATACTTACATTTGGGGGCATGCCAGGGCTTCCTGCACTCAGGGAGCAGAGGGTGGCAGCAGCAAAGCACGCCGAGCTGGGTGAGGAGAGGAGACAGCCCAGGTGGCCTAGGGATGCCGGGGCTCTGAGGAAGATGCAGGTGAGAAGAGACTCTGGGAAGCCCAAGCTGGCCCACTGTGGGAGACGGTGGAACAGCCTCCTCACAGCCCCGAGGTTGGATGTACTGGGACTGTGGGACCTGTGGCTGCCATGGGAACAGGGCTAAGAACTCAAAGCAGCAGGAGCAGGGAGGCCCCACCGGGAAAAAACACATCCTGGTTGCTGGGGCCAGGCAGGCTCCGTGGGAGGGGTTATTTTTAGCAGTTTAGGCGGCTGGGGCTGGACTTGTATGGCCTTGCTGTCTGGCTGCATAGCACACCCATTGTCCTGTCTGACCTTGCATCGCTGTTAGGAGGCCTCTCTGTCTGCCCCTTGCCCTCTGGGGTGCACCCGGGCTACAAAGAACCTAGAGAGGGAGCTGGCCTGGAAACACAGCCGCTCTGCATAGCCCAGGTTATCCCAGACAGGGAGAGAGTTTCTGGGGTGGTGGAGGTCACTGGGTCTTCCTGGACACCAGCCAGAGGCTCTCCTCCTGAGGCACAGGGCCAGAGGTTCCCAGAGACCTGGAGCAGGGCTATGATGGGTGCAGAAATGTGAGGACCCAGAGGACATAGACCCTTTTATTGCAGGTGTCCTTTCATTCCAGTCACACCCTGGGTGGTCTCTGCAGGGGCTGAGGGGTGTGTGTGTGTGTGTGTGTGTGTGTAAGAAGCCCGGTTGTCTTTCCATTTCTCTCGCCCACACCCAGGCATCCGGCTCAGCTCTTGGCTTTGGGTGTGTGACCTCTGTTTAATTCTGGATACAGCACACACAAAGTAGTTCATGTGGCATCACGGATGAAAAACCGTGCAGGGGGTACCCTCCCCGCATCCAAAGCTAACACGAGCAAGGAGGATGACTATGGAGCTGGACTCGGGGAGAAGCCACCTGACCGGCCCTGCCTAGAGCTGGGGTGCTGCTGAAGAACAGACAGCCTGTTTCAGCCCCCTCCTCCTGGGCCAAGGGAGCTCTGCTCTCTCTTACCTGCTCATTCTGGTGTGTGTGTGTGTGTGTGTGTGTGTGTGTGTGTGTGTGTGTGTAAGGTCTCAGATGTGCCTCTGCAGACATTCACTTTATTTTATTTTTAATTTTTTCTATTTTATGTACCTGCTTGTATGTCTGTGTGAGGGTATCAGGTCCCCTGGAACTAGAGTTACAGACAGTCGTGAGCTGCCATATTGAATGGGGAATTGAACCCGGGTCCTCTGGAAGAGCAGCCAGTGCCATTAACTACTGAGCCATCTCTCCAGCCCCCTCACCTTACCCATTGAGATAAGGTTTCTTACCTGAGGGACCTGCTGGCCTCTACCTCTCCAGTGCGGACATTACAAATAGGATTCTTTCCCGGGGCTCGAACTCAGGTCCTCTTGGTGCGTATGTGTCGAGTACTTTCCCAGCTCTGCTGTTGCCCCAGCTCTCGTCTGTGTTCTTTCACGCATTTGTTTTTATTTATTTACTGTGTGTGCGTGTGTTTCTGCCTGTGATTGTGGCCCATGCACCAGGACATGCAGTTAGAGGCCAGGGGACGGTTTGTAGGAGTCAGTCCTCTCCTTCTACCATGTGTGGTGCGGGAATCAAACTCGGATTTTGATTGGACTTGGAGGCGAGCACCTTTTCTGACAGAGCCGTCTTGCCTGCCCCTATTCTCAGATCTTGAAGGCTGAGAAGTCAGGAATTTCTGGTGGACAAGGAATGAAGAAGGGAGTCATGGATTCAACGAATGTTTATTGAGCACCTACTGTGTGCCAGGTAGTTCCAGAGACCTGGAGAAGAAGGGCTGGGGCAGTCTGAAGTTGTCCCAGCTCAAGGTCTCTTCCCAAAACAAGTCCTGCAAGGGGCTGGGGACCCCTGCCTTGGAGAGTGGAAGGTCTGGTTACAGAAAGCAGAGACCTGTAGAAGCGAGACAGCTCAGAGCGGGGGTGTCTAAGACTGGTGCCTTCTCCCAGGAGATCCGGGCATGGCCTCTGCAGCATGAGGCAGTCCTCCATCACCTCCTCTTCAGGACGGATATGCACGATTTCTTGAGGGGCCCGATCTGCAGGTGGGCGTCCACACTCTCCAGGAAGAAGGCAGGCTTGAGCCTGTGACTGAAGAGCCCTGAAAAGTGGCTGTCCAGGCGACTCTGGAAGGGGTCAGTGGGGGAGGCCAGGGCACCACTGCGGCGTGGCCGGGAGGCTTTGAGCCTCCGAAGAAGGCTCAGCTTTCCGTCTCGAACGGCGTAGAAGGCTAGGGCATGGTCAGCATACTCTAGGCAGACCCCAACCGTGGGGGAAAAGGCATGCGGCAGCGGCGCCTCCAGCCCACAGAACCAGACTGAGAATCCACGCCCGTTCCACTGCAGACAGCACGAGTGTGCATTGCGGCCCAGCCGGCCCCGGTCATAGGGCTCTTGCGGAGAGAAGCCCTCAGCCATGACACCCACGCTGACCCATCCTTCGATGATCTCTACCTCCCAGTAGTAGGTGCCCCGGTCCAGGGCACCCTCTCCTAGCACCTGCTCACAGTGCGTGAAGCGGGTGGGTGACTCCGGGTAGTTGATGGGACATAATACCCTCTTGACGCCTTTGGTTCCAAAAAGCTGCAAGAACTTGTCTGCCGTATCACTGTCCAGGTCCACGATGTAGGCAACTGACCCCATGGATGGGAAGGAGACACAGATCACAGCCACGCTCGGATGGGATGGTCCCCCACAGGGACCCACCTCCCCCAAACACAGTCTCGTCCCTTCTTCAGAAACACCGAGACCCGGCACTAGTGGGGACCACCCGTGGAGGTGACCTTGTCCACCCTAGAGATTAAGGGGAGGGTTCCCAAGCTCTGTGTTTCTGAAGCCTCGCAGCTGACAGAGGCGCTTTGGTAGCACCGCCGGGCTGGCTACTTACACTTGAGGAAGTAATCCCTGGGAGCCTCGCTCTCCAGCAGGTTGGTGCTGTCAGGGTCCTGGGACTCCACATCAGCTGCGCAAGGAGTGGTGGGAAAGCAACCTCTCTGGACCACCTGCGGCTGGCTGCAGGGCTGCCCTCGGCAGTGCCCGCCCCCACCTGCGGCTGGCTGCAGGGCTGCCCTCGGCAGTGCCCGCCCCCACCTGCGGCTGGCTGCAGGGCTGCCCTCGGCAGTGCCCACCCCCACCTGTGGCTGGCTGCAGGGCTGCCCTCGCCAGTGCCCGCCCCCACCTGCGGCTGGCTGCAGGGCTGCCCTCTCAGTGGGCAGTGCCCACCCCCACCTGCGGCTGGCACTCCCTCCACCCTCCCTTCCAAAGCCCCCAGCCGCTTGGTGACAGACACACCCACATGGGACGTGTCCTCATGCGTGTGTATCGCTTGAGTTTCCCCGCCCTGGCCTCCTTGTGTGCGAGGGAGCAAGAAGAATCACTTTGGGGGGTGTGGTGGGGTGGGGATGGCCTCAGTTCCTGGCAGGATTAGGCTCCCTCCCCCAGGGCCAGACACTTTTCCCTCCTCCGTTCCTGGATGGACACCAGATCTGGGGGCCCACACGGTGCATCTGGGGAGGGGCGTGAGTCATCTCGGAGGGGCACCCACCTTCTGAGCCGCGTTTCTGCAGCTCATCCTCCTCACTGCTCAGGCCCCGCAGCTGCTCCCACTGGCTGGCGCAGGCTGAGACCAGGATGTCTCTCAGCGCTCTGACCACTTGGGAGGACTTGGTGAAGCTGAGTTCCCTGGGGGGCCCAGGCCCAGGGCCGCACCCCTCCTCCAGGGCCAGCCTCAGTGCCAGGAGCTCCTGTGCCAGACGAAGGCCCATTAAGGCTCTGCTGCCGTAGCTCCTCCCAGCCAGGGAAGGTAGCAACTGTCTGGGAAGGCCAGGCACCCATCGCCCTGCCGTCCTTTCTCACTCCCACCCCCTCACTCGATCCCCCCGTGGCTCATGAGCCACCCTCACCTGTAGGAAGCTGACTGAGTCGGCTTCTGGAACCTGACTGAGGTTGTGACGTGCCCGGCTCAGGCGGCTGCGCTGTTCCTCCTGTCTACGCAGGTCACCCTGGGAGCGGCCCAACATAGTGGCCTCCCCCTCCTCGATGAACCCCAGCACCTCGGTCTGGAAACTCTGCAGGGTGGCTGTGGCCTCGGCAAACATCTGGCTCACCCTCTCTCGCTCGGCCACAGCTGCACTCTGCAGGATTGGGCGGTGGAGGCAAAGACCCAACCCGGCTACAGTTTCCTTCTCTGGCTGTGTGAGCCCACCCTGCCCTACCAGGACAGAAGGACCGGCCCAAGCTCTGGGTCTGAGCCAGGTCTCGGGAAACAAGGTGTTCCCGCTTAGTAGGGTTGAGCAGTCCCTAATCAGGGCACGTATGTCTAGAGTGGGTGGTACATACTGGAAACTTATGCCCAGTTTCAGAGGCCTGCTTCGGGGGTGCACAGGGGGTTAGGGTGAGGTCTGACCTTGATGAGGGCCACAGTACGGCGGGACTGTGCAATGCTGGCACCCAGTTCATCCATCCGGTCCTCCACGGCACTCAGGACTTTGGGCTGCTCAGCCTGTGGATTGGGCTTTGTGAGTCTGGTGTCTGATGACAAAGGTCCCTGACCAGATCTGTGAATGGAGGGCCTGGAAGTGGCTGTGATACTTCAGAACATGCCCAAAACACCTTGGGCCAGGCTGCTGCCATCCCCAAATGCCTGGCAAGGAAGCGGGCTGAGGGCATCTGACTACCTGTTGACCAAGGAAGCCAGTCTAGGGCCACTTGAGGTGCTCGATTTATTTGGGATTTTTCCCCTCAGTGGGGAAGAGGTGAAGCGTGAGAGCGTGGAGTTGGGGTATGACTGAACGAGAAGGACACTAAATAATCCTGGGGATTAGTTTCAAAAGAGCCTTCACCCCCAATCCAGCTCTGAAAAATGGGGATTCCGGGCAAATCCCTTGGGTCTTATGAGTCACTGCTCCAGGCAGGAGAGACGGAAAATCCCAAAGCCAGAGGCGCCAAGACCAGGACGGAGGCCAAAGGAAACTGGGGGTGGGAGGTGGTGGGGCACTGGGCACATGCTCCCAACGGCCCCAGAATCTTCGGACAGAGAGGTTCTGTGTGACCAGCCCAACCTCCATGGCTCTCCTGGTGCCTGCCACACCCATCCACAGCGGCTGACTCAGTCCAGGACAAATCTGAGTCGGGACCAGCCACAAGAGCTCCGCAGCCATGGGGCCACGCCCGCGGCCAGCCACTCCTGGTCCCCACCGGCTCCAAGGGTCTAACCCAGGTACCTCTCTGGCTTTACACCCACACTGACCCAGTTAACTCTCTCTCTCTCTCTCTCTCTCTCTCTCTCTCTCTCTCTCTCTCTCTCTCTCTCTCTCGGCTCTTCGCCATTCTTTCATCTACTCAGTAGTTGCTTCTGACTCCGCTTCCATCCACACCAGCCCTAGCAAACGACACTATAGACCGGAAGCGGTCGCAAAGATCCTCAGGTTAGAGGGGGAAACTAAGGCAGAGCCTATTGAGTCAGAGCGATGGGACCCACGCAAAGGTGGGAACTAACTCCACAAAGTTGTCTTCTTAATCTCCACGTGCACATCCCACAATAATAATAAAAGAGACAAACAAATAAAAGGCACAGCCGGAGAAGAGTGGGGGGAGCTGCCCCGCCGGCCGCCCATCTCCACGTGCCCGCGCCCCACCTCCTGAAGCGCGCGCTCCTGCTCCAGCGGCACTAGCTCGTGGCCGCGATGCTCCTGGGCGGCGCAGGCCTCGCACAGGCACACTCTCTCCACGCGGCAGTAGCGCTCCAGCGGCCGCAGGTGGCGCGGGCACAGGCTCTCCTCCAGCCGGCGCAGCGGCGGCACCAGGCGGTGGCCGCGCAGTGCGGGGCTGCGTTCGTGCGGGGCCAGATGCGCAGAGCAGAAGGAGGCGAGGCAGGAGAGGCAGGAGAGCGCGGCGGGCAGGGCGGCGCCCTCCGGGCACGCGTCGCAGCGCACCGGCTCTTCGGCCGGCCAGGGCTCGGGCGCGCAGGGAGCCGAGGGCTCCGGAGCAGTAGGGGGTGCGCTGGGCGCCGAGGGTTCGGGCGTCGCGCCCCGGGCGGGGCCTGAAGCCGGGGCGGACATGGGTCCCGGGCCCGAGCCCTGGCGGAGTTGCAGCAGCTCGGAGAGCGTGTGGTTCTTGCGGAGCTGCAGGCCGTCGGGGAAAGGCTCCTGGCACAGTGGGCAGCGGGCCGGACCTCCGGAACCACCGTTGCCGCCCGCACTCCGGTGCGGCCAGAGCGCGCCCAGGCAGGCGAGGCAGAAGTTGTGGCCGCAGGGCAGTGTCACCGGCTCCCGGAGCGGTTCCAGGCAGATGGGGCAGCTGAAAGGCCCGCTGCCGTCCATGGCTCCGCAGCTGCCCGGGCACCGCCTGTGCTGCTCCCGCCTGGGAGGGACCAGGGACGGTTCGCGCCCGGCACCGCCCCCCTGGGGCCAAGGCCAAGGGTCCAGCCCCCTCCAACCCCTCCGCAGTTCTGCCCGCCCCCAACGCGGCCAGCCGCTGTACCACGGGTCAGCAGACACCGGGCCCGCCTGCCTCCCAGGGGCACCCGACCCTCTTGAGCCCTCCACCCGTCGTGGGTGGAGGCGGGGGCACTCCCAAACCGGTGTGAAAAGGAGAGGATGAGGACCGAGGATGCCAGGGGATGTATGGGGAGGAGGCTGGGAGGGCATCCGACCCTCCATCCCCCCAACCTTGGTCAGCCCGGTGCCTCGGGAGAGGTGGGAGGGCACAACCGTGTCGCCAGTACCTTTGCTCTCCACACCCCTCCTGGGTACAGTTAGCAAAGTTCACGAGTTGCTGACATATAGAAAAAATTACTGCTAGTGTGTGTCTGTTTTTGCCCCCTAGAGACTCTATTTACCCGCGCTGGGGAACTTGGCCTTGTCTAGATCTGAAATGGGAAGCTGACATCACTGGACAAATCCCT